GATGGCTGTCAGAGTTTATGACCCTCATTATTAAGACAGGACAGAGATCAACAGGGTGCCTGTCTCATTGATTAAAGCGAGTGAATGAGCTGCTTGTGTGTGCCCAGGTTGCATAGCTTTGTGTTGAGTGTATGACAGCTGCGCATACAGAGCAGCTAGGCAGAAGTCACAGTTGACCTGGAGGTTTCACACTTCACATTTACCCTGGAGAACTTCAGTTTTCTGTGTTGATCAGGATACCACACCATTTCTTCATTTTCCGGTATTTCATAAACATGTCCTCTTCTTTTACATTCCCCAGACCTGCTCAGATGGACTTGAGATAACGTCACCAGAAGTTTCACCCTTGTCCCGAACTCCAGCCTCCCGCAATCACCCATAATGGCAGACCTCAGCGGGCTGAGCACCGAGGGGGCCGGGACAGGCTCGGTCGAGGTCGACGCCTGCAGTTTGGAGATAGAGAGGAAGTATGATGTCATCCCTGCCGTCATATGCTCCATGTGTTGCCTGTTCGGCATCATCTACTGCTTCTTTGGTGAGGATCCCCATAGACTATGGCATCAGGGAGGGTCAAACTAAATGTTTTTGGGATGAAATAACACACCATCAAAATGCCACGTGTAGCTTCATAGTACTGCCTTAAAAGTCACCTATTGTGCCAATTGTGTCCCCTCTGTGTAAAGACATTCTGAAAGTTTCAAGAAAAAATATTCTCTCTCTTTTTGTCCTGATCCATTTATATAAAAACATGTCTGAAAATGAGCTGATCAGATTTTGGCCACTTTATGAAGTCATAACGTTGTTTTGGCTTGTGTAACCATTAGCCAATCACCAACCAAGGTAACCCTGCAACTGATGCTGCAATGAATGATCTGTTTGGTATTTGGAGCCAAACACTTCAGAGACATGTTTGTATATATCTGAGACCTGTAATATATTGATGAAAACAGTATAATAGGGGACCGTTAAATATCAATTTGGATAAACGTGTGCTTTTTCTTAGTGGTTTCACACGAAAACATTCTCACTATGTGTCCAGAGTTGCTTTGTTGAGCTTGAACCTTTCACATTTATATTAAAGGATAAATGTTTATCCTCTGATTTTACATCTCCTTATTCCTCATTGTAACTATTTCCGGTTTCTCCTCCTCTAGGTTACCGCTGTTTCAAGGCGGTCATGTTCCTGTCTGGTCTGATGTTCGGCTCCGTCGTCATCTTCTTGCTGTGCCACAAGGAGCACGTGCTGGACACGCAGCTGAGCGTGGAGGCCAGCGCCGGGATTGGCCTCGGCATCGGCCTGCTGTGCGGCCTGGTCACTATGCTGGTGCGAAGCGTCGGCCTCTTCATGACCGGCCTGCTTCTGGGCCTCCTATTGGCTCTCGCCGCCCTACTGGTCACTCACCAGTTCTACACTCCAACCACAGTCTGGGTCCCACTGGGTTCCCTTCTGGGGGCGGGCATGCTGTTTGCTGTGCTGACACTGCAGTGGCAGAAGCTCTTCACCATGATCTCCACGGCGGTGTTCGGGGCAGCCATCATGACAGTGTGTGCTGATTACTTCGTGGAGATGCTGGTGTTGGCTAATCATGTGTACGAATGCTTGCGCCTTACAACCGGGCCACCTCTGTGCTGGTACAGCTGGGTCATTCTGGGCATCTGGCCCGCCCTCAGCCTCATAGGAGTACTGGTCCAGTGGAAATTGACAGATGACAGCTTCTCGCACACTGACGGTAAGGAGGAAATATCGTGCCTTTGAGTTCTAAATGTCAACTTTCAAGAATTGCACTTAAAAACAGAGGGATAAATGTGTCTTCACAAATATCAGGCAACTTACTCCAACTAGGTGAAACAGTAACACGTATTCACAGGCAGGAACAGCCAACGAGAGACCTAGCTCTGCCCCTTTTCAACTTTCTAAGAAAAATCCCAATTTCTTGCCAATTGATAAATATGGGCCCAGATGTTTTAAGTTAGTATTTAACAAACACACATTTTCAACTTGTGCTTCTCACAGTTTTTGTCAGTTTTTATTTAAACTAGGGCTGCTCGATTATGGCAAAGATCATAATCTCGATTATTTGGGTCAATAATTGTTATTGCGATTATTAAATGCGATTATTCATTGACTTTGAAAACATCCATTTGTTGGAGAAAAAAAAAGTGAACAGTATGTTTTTAACAGTTGATTACCCTGAACTTTAAGTATAATTCAACTGAAAAAATTATTTAAAAAGTAATAATAATTTCAAAAAAATTATCGTTTTATTTCGATTACGTTGTTTTCGTAATCGTTGCAAGCCATAATCGTAATCGCGATTAAAATACGGTTAATTGAGCAGCCCTAATTTAAACCATGATGTGATGTTACAAAAATGCCTTTGATTTTTCCCTTCTTCTTGTAGTGGTTATCAGTCGGAGACAGAAGAGAGTCCAGCTGATGCGGATTCGAGAGAAGGACGCCAAGAAGCGACAGCAGGCAGGTGGGCAGGAAGGCACGTACCGCCGTAAACCCACCCCAGTGAAACGTTACGCTGGGGATCTACTGGCACCGGTCAGTGTCACCCAACATGGCGTGTGCTGTAGATAGTCATTAGTTTGTTTGTATGGCATCAGTTTTATCTCACCAGTAAGCATAGGTCTGTCATGACACTAACGAAAAACAATAATATTGTTAACCACATTTATTCTTGGCACAATATAGCCTCCAATTAAAGCAGTTATCGTCACAGGCCTAACTAATGCCATGAAATTCTTGCTGATGTCCCTTTTTGTGTGTACCTGGCTCATCTCTCCCTGTGTTGTTTTTCTCAGAGCTACCTGCAAAGTCTGCGGGACAGACAGATGGGCACCGGCACTTCCCTTAGCAGCATCGGCACTTCCAACCACACCATGATTGACTTTGACTACGACACCGGGTCCACCGCGCCCCTCACAGCTACAACCCCAGTTGTCAGGGTCTGAGCCAAACAGAGAAAAGAAGGGACTACTTAAAGCTCTGCGGTTCTCTAACTGTGTCCTCCTAACCTACAAACGGCTCCCCTCGTGCTCTTAAATGGATTTAGAACTAGGATGTGCGTCTGTTCTGTCAAAGAGAATGCTGCTTTTTGGGGAGAAGTGAGAGGTGTTTGATGAAAGCTATAATATAACCACTGTGTTCCTCAGAGAAACACTTAAACACAGACACTAACAAAGTAGGGTCCTCCATTTCCTTTTATCGTGTATTAAATACATAAACAGCAAGTACGAGCCTCGTATGTTATTCTGTTTTGGTAGTGAATAATACAAAACAATATGTTTGACGTTACATGTACTGTTCTTAAAAAGTTAGTCATTGTCCTGAAGTGTTGTGTTATTACCTGTCTAACTGTGTGCTTGTAGAAGTTGTGAAAGTTTATCATTAAAATGTGTATTTTTTAGAGTTTTTTAAAGATAATGAAATATGACAAATGGATACATGGAGTATGACAGAGTGTAGCAAAAGCTGAAAGGTGCAAATAAATAACAGTTTGTATTTTCTGTCAGAATACAGTAGGTGAATAATTTAGACTGTGTGTATGTTTGTGGAGTAAACGTTTTATAATTTAATTTATGTAAAGTACATGGTAAGGTTTAAAAAAGGACAAAAAACAAAGCATGTTTGTTGTTAATTTGTAGATTTTTAAATAATTATCCATTGTGTTGTTTGAATTCTGAAGGGACAATGCACTTGTTACCTGAATCTGTACATACCTGTTGATAGAAATAAATACATGTGTTTGATACAAAACTGTTTTTTAATTATTGATCGAGTTTGTCTTTTTGAGCTCTTAGCAACACTGGCAGCATTACTCAACAGAATTTCTCATGGGCAATAAAGAGGCTATGTGGAGGATTTCCTATGCAACTGGTTCGGTTGCCATGGAGCCCCCAAATGTTTTTTGCATACAACACAATGTGAGCCTTTCATCAAAATGAACGATAAATATCTTGCTATCCTTTTTACGGGAATGTTGAGCCTATTTTCTGGTGACAGGGAACTGCAATTGAAAAGGGCAATTATAAGAACAGACAGTGTCTTGTTTAATTGTAAAAAATGTAACATTCTGGCTTTAAAAAAAATCAGGACACATGTATGTCACATTATTTCTCACAAATGGTTGTGACTCATACGTTTTGGAGGTGTTTTTAAGGAGCGATGAATAACTTTTTTAAGTGTGCATGAATGGTTACACAAAATGTCTGTAAAGAAAGTGCACACTCCCATCATCATATTACATCTTACTGAAGAATATTAACACACATAATTCAACACACATGTTGGAGAGAAAAACAGAAGGCCTCCCTTGATTTCGCCCTGAGATCATACAAAAGATTACATAATATTGGCACAAAAACACATTTGTACTCATGAAGTCAGCCTCACAAAAGTCACTGCAGAGGTTTGCGAGAAGCCTGGTTTAAATCAGGTCCAGTGAAATAAAATCAATCCTCAAATTCCCATTAGTTTTTGTTTCCTTTACCAACAAAATTACAATTTGTATCAAATACTCACCCTGTGTTACCTTGAAAAATCCTCATCCAAAAACATGGCCATGTTAACAACAGCATTAACATCTGCTTTTACTTCACAAACACGTGGCATTGTTGAAAATACATTGGGAAGTATGAGGCAATCCGCAATAAATTAGACTTTCTTTTGTAAGAGTTTGTAAATGGATCTGATATAGTTTTGCACTTAGTTGAATTCATCAATAATGTGTTCCCTTTTTGATGATATGTCACTGTGAAGACATTCGAGGAAAAAGTTTCTTAAATAATTGGAGGTAACAGGTTGAGTATTTCAGATACAAAAAGTAATTTAGTGGGGAATAGATCTTCCACGTGGTTGGTGACAATTCACAATCTGGTTGTGTGGAGCCGACCTCTTGCTACACGCTGCCCCCTGATGGTCGCCCTCCTAGCACCGCATCCAGCGCTCCCTCTTGCTCAGAGGGTATCCTCTGTCGACCCCCAGCCGGTCATTCACTCTCCAGTACTGGTCTCCCTTAAAGAAGAAGATCTTGCCGTTGGTCCAGGTGAGAGCTGCATCTGGATCTGACGGCACCCCGGAGAAGAGCATGGAGAGTGGTTTGGGGTAGATTCCCAGGTCAGTGAACTTCAGCTCATCCCACTGCCAGTGCTCTGAACCCTGCACAGGCAGACAACAAAGACACACACACACTGAGGATTTCTGCAAGGAAAATAACATATTGGGATGCACTAATATGTTTAAAGTGTGCTAATGATACCTTGATGAAGACCATCTTCTTGTTCTTCTCCAGGTACAGGGCTGCGTTGATGTTCGGAGGGATCCGTTTCACCTGTTTGGGGTAACCGTCGTCCAGCATGAACATGGTATACCTCCACACTTTATCACCTGTGACCAGGAGACAAACATTCACACAGTTGGACTCACAACTGGAGAACAGAAGAAGAGCACACAACCAGGCGTGGTAAAGAAATAGATTCACTCGTACTGTAGTACAATCTTGAGGTACTTGTACTTTACTTGTGTATTTCTATGTTATGCTCCTTTTTCAAAATATTTAACTTTGACATGACTACATTTATTTTAAAGCTGTAGTTAATAGCTGTGATGCAGAATCATATTATTAATACAAAATAAGACAAAATAAATACGAGAGAATGTATAAATATACTACCGTGCCTTATAACAAGTAGTTATAGTGGGGCTATAAGATGCAACATTGAGAGACACAAACATCAATAGATAGAATCCAGTAACAATATGTTGTTCTGAAATAAGCCATTCTACAGAAGAAAAACTCTCACTTTTGGCACTCTAAGTATATGTGATGAAAATATGTTTTTGTACTTTTATTCAGAATTCAGGACTTTTAATATAACGGAGTATTTCTTAATTGTGCAATTACTGCATTTAATTAAGTTAGATATCTGAGTGTTTCTTCTCCCACTGACACTGACACACGACAGAAGCACTGGACAGCTGTACCTTTGAAAAAGTACGTCTTGTTGGTCCTCTGAGAGTGCACCGCAGCGTTCAGGTCTCCAGGCAGGGCCTTCCACAACCTGTTGATCTGTATCGGTGTGTTGTGTCCCAGATCAGAGATCGTCCAGACGTAGTCACCACTGAAGGCAAACGTTTTCCTCCATGGACCTGATCAAACATTCAGAGAGGTACTTAAGTATTTGTCACAGGTTTTGTAAACCTACTAAAACAATATTTGTATGATGGTATATACCTTTATAAAAAAAGGAAAAATGAACTCGTCTTCACACAACAGAAGATAGACAAATATTGAAAACTTGTTATGTAAAATTAATTGAAGTTCAACAAATCACCATTTTATTTTTTAAAGTTTTTAGACTGTTTCTCAAAGGACCTGTCATCTCATATTCCTTTCAATCTTATATTATTTAATTTGTTCGAACTTTTACTGTAGAATAGATCATGAATGTGTCGGTCTATTCCCTGTAAACGTGGTGTGTTGTGGTCTAAGATAAAGTCAGGCTACAATGGTGGTGCGTTTCCTGTGTTTACTCTCAATTAATCCATAACTTACCCAACATGATAGCGTCCAGTGCGGCAGTGCAGGGGTCAGGGATGATCTCAGTGTCATGGCTGCTCTCCGTGGGAAGCAGACTGTTCGGCAGTATTGGACTGGCTAAAGTGCTAGTGATGCGTTTGCCTATAAAACAGAGAAAATGTGTCAATGCAAACTAGACAGCAATATTTGTGTGAAATATATTTGGCTGCAGAGAAGAAATGTAGAACAAAAAAGGTTACCGCCTGAATTGCCTTTATTTATAAATAATGAAGGATATCTATGTCATAGACTGATTAACTTTAAGGATCCAGCTGCAGATTTAATTAATATTGGGCTTAATGTATACGATACTTTAGTGTAATTGAACCCGGATATTTTAATAAATATTTTTTTAGGGTGTGAATTATTATTAATAATAATGACTCTATTATTGTCATGTTGAGTTAATCCATAAAAATAAAGGTTTTTTTTACCCTTTTTTTTCCGCCCAGTATTTGCTATTTTCTCTTATATATTTGTTACTGATTCATACCAATTCATAAATACTGACACAAACAGTCCAGTAGGCCTTCTTGATGCACTCACCATATAACAGCTGGATCCCCTGCACATCATCTGTATGAAGCCTGAAGTTGGCACGGTAACCGGAGTAGACTGGAGCCATCAGGGCACCTCTGAACTGAGAGTGTCCCAGGCCGAGGGCGTGGCCGATCTCATGAGCAGCCACAATACGCAGATTAGTGCCATAATACGATCTCTCAGTCCAGAACTCATCCTCATCAAAATGCACAATACCAGACTGTGGTGACTCAGCATGGGCCAGCACATGACCTGCAAGTGATACAAATAAACAATTTAAAAGAATGTCACCCTTACAATGTCACTTGTATATAAATAACCCACCTTAATTTCCCTTGAATTCTCGATAAAAAAACATTGCTTTCCTTGTTCCTTGTTATTCATCCTCTCATTCTTCCCTTACACTCACATTTTCAGTAAAAACTTGTATGCTTAAGTGTGCTTAATAGTGAGATTTGAGAAACAAATGCATGCGTTTGGGAAAAAGTGTGTTTACTACTGGACAATAAATACTTTAATTATATTGCATGAGCAGTGTGAGAGTTTGGTAACAGATGTTTGATGACTACAATTCATCGAGAATTTTCTTCGTTCTTTTTTATTTTTTTATAGAGAAGGCATGCAGGATAGACAGAGTTTTCTTCACTTCAAATTAGTTATTGATAAGCAATTACAATCTGTGAAGAAAGATTCCTTTAAAAGGACATTTCAGCTTTAAAATCACCATTGTTTCTTTGTTTCAGGGGACAGCAGGGCCAAAAGTAGCTATGTTTCTACATTTAGATAGAATAGAAAACTGACCACGGCCATCAAACGGGAAGGGGCAGAATCCATCTTTCTTATGGAAGGAGATCTTGATGTCTGCTCTGCCATAGCTGATCTCTCTGAAGATCAAAGCAGCGACATCACTCCAGTACTTAAAGGCAGAACGGACGGCCATCTTCACCTCGGTTTTCTTCATGTCAGGCGTGTAGTTGTAGATACGGTATGTCAGACTCCTTTTTCTCCAACGACCTACAAGAGATGAATACTATATTTCTATGTGACCACGACCAAACTGCCTACTTTACTAGAAGTAAACATTTTCTACATTAGTCAATGAGAATACAAATGAAAAAATAGTCATTTGGAACATTGTCACTTAATTTTGAAGTTCGTGGTTTCCCAGTTATTTAGTAACTTCACATAGGGTTACATCTAATGATTCAAAAATACTTTAAGTGCACTGGATGTTAATAATTCCTCATGAGACAAACAGTTTTTATTTATTTACAAGTATATTTATAATAAGGATGGAGAGCTGAATTCAGGTGTCCAAGTATTTCCCTAAAGCTTTAAAAGTTTCTTAAAGCCTTAAAATGGAAATCTATTAGATCCTGGACCTTTCCAATTTGCCAACAAGCATCTAAGTTTTAAAGGTCCCCTATTGTACTATTTTTCAACAATATATGATAGGTCTCAGAAATATACAAAACATGTCTCTGAAGTGTTTGGCTCGAAATACCAAAGAGATTGTGCATTGTAGCGTCCCATAAACCCCTCTGTTTCAGCCCTGTTTCAAAAGTGCTGATTCTGTGTCTGTAGCTATAAATGCTAATGAGCTGCTGCTGGCCTCCATCTGCGAGATATTTGGTTAAAAAAACCACAATGGTGCTGTAGAATGAGATTCAGGTGATAAGCTGTGCGGGTGTCACCTTGGTTGGTTATTGTCTAATGGTTGCACAAGCCAAAAAAACATTGTGACATCACAAAGTGGCCAAACCTTACAGCTCATTTTCAGACATGTTTTTTTATACAGATGGATCAGGACAAAAAGAGAGATAATCTTTTTTCCTGAAACTTTCCGAATCTTTTAACACAGGGGTCACATAATTATGCATAAAATACATTAAAAAGTGGCATCATAGGTGACGTTTAAACTTAAATCTACAAACAGATGTTAACCTTTCAGGACATGAGCATAGAGAATGTAACCTGTGCAGTTTGCCAACAAATCTGTAAAGCAGCAATATGAACTTCTTGCTGTCAGTTTATTTAAAGAGAGAATCGAGCTTAATTTCTTGACTCACCCATCACTCTGTATTTGTGTTGTTTATTGTTGAAGGGATCCTCCATGCCACAGCGAGGCTGTCTCATCACACCCACAGTGGCTTCATCCAACTCTCCAGTAGGTGGCAGATCATTCACTCTCTGAAAAACCCTGGAGACAAGAATGGATCAAACATCTGCACACATCCTGCTCCGGAGCTCCTCTGTATCTGGGAGGATCGTTGATACATATCTAACTGATTCAAAGTACCCGCATGTGTTTCCTCTTGAAAGGGGAATAGTTTATTTTACCTGAGAGCTTCAATGATCTCCTCCAGGTATTGGGGGTCCTGCGGATCAGCGGGGTTATTCAGGTAACCATACTTCATCAGATAGGCCTGTTCAATCAAAGGCAGACAAAAAAGCTCTTAAAAGAATAATGTGAACGTAATAAGGATGTCAACGTTTGTAAAACATTTGTAAATGTGGTTGTTTTGCTGCTGAACAGAAGAACATTGTAAAACGTTATGGATTTATTAAGGATGCAGCCACATTAAGGCACCTAAACCAGAACTGTAGGATACAGTAAAGTCCTATTTTAACTTCTTACAGGATTATATATAATTCTGTAACCTTAACACCCTTCTCCCCTTTCGTTATAAATGCTTTGTTTGCTTTTATTCACATGCATTTTTTTAATGTGTATGTATCATGGATGCGTTTGATTTCCAGACAGTAAAATAAAGTACATTTTGAATAACTAAGGAAAAACATGAGCATGTTTATATAGAGTATTAAACAGTTTGTTTACTCACTGTTGAGAAAAAAAATCTGATTGTGAGTGTATGTTTGAAAAGTAAAAATCTTACCTTTGCTTCATCTAATTCTGTCCATTGCACCACTGCACAAACCGCTCCACTGAGGCTGAGCAGCAGCAGCAGCAGCAGCCTTGTGTAGTCCATATTCAAGTTTTCATCAAAAGTTTCTGTTCCTAAATAATCCGGGCTGATGCTCAGATCCTGAAGCGCTCAGCAGAGTCTCTCAGCACCAACAGACTGTGTTTGTTCTCTCAGCGCTGCAGCAGTTTTAAACTCAGCCCGGCAGGCGTGTGACTCAGCCCTGTGGCTGTGATGATCCATCTCTGAAGAATGAGGATTACACGAGCAGCCAGTTGGCCTCCAGCCAGCAAGCCTGATGTTAAACTACAGCTGTTCAGATGTGGAGCTGCAGAAGTGATCTACACACACTCTCTTTATAGGTTCAAGCTACCGTTACACTCTCTAAAGAAGTCATTCACCTGAAAGAAACTATCACTATAAGGCAGGGGTGTCCAAACTGTTTTCACGAGGGCCACATACAGAAAAATATATGAAGGGCTGGGCCACTCCCTAGAGATGAGGTATATTGCCTCTTAAGTTTAGTTATAAGTTGGAAAAATCAATCCAATGTAGGTAAATTATTGGTGATACTTGAAAATGCTGTAAGGACAGCTCTCCATAGGGTTTCATTTATTTTGTTAGCAGCTCATTCCTTAAAACAGAAGCTTCAGATTGATTATAATAAGAGGAAATATGAAGGGTTTATTTCAAGGTTGTTGTGTAAATTTGTCATTGGGTTTTTTTATTATCAACTTAGATTTGTTAGGACATGTTTTCAACTTTAATGGACTACATTTATTTGAAAATTGGGCGTATTGACACATGAATACTGTGTAATATATTTGAACATTTATACTTAAGATGTACAATATAAGACAAGTAGAAGATTAATATACTTTCATTCAGTCTATACTTTTTTAATTTGCTGAGGGGCCGACTCCAAATGGCCGCAGTTGGCCCCCGGGCCGTAGTTTGGATATGCTATAAGGCAAGGCAAGGCAAGTTGAGTTATATAGCACCTTTTCAACACACTTCAAAGTGCTTTACAAAAATGAAAGACATTAAGAGCATTAAGAAATAGTGCAGTGGAAACACATTATAAAATGGCATTTCAAAACAGTCATTAAAAAGCAAAGATAATAAAAGAAACATAAAAAATACATGGATAAAAGTTACAGTGCAGTTTAAGATGTGAATAGTTCAATTAAAAGCAGCGACAAAAAGAAAAGTCTTCAGCCTGGATTTAAAAGTAGTCAGAGTTGCAGCGGACCTGCAGGTTTCTGGGAGTTTGTTCCAGATATTTGGAGCATAATAACTGAACGGGAGGGACTCGGAGTTGAGCCGCTCCTCCTTCGCGTCGAAAGGAGCCAGTTGAGGTGGTTCGGGCACCTAGTTAGGATGCCACCTGGGCGCCTCCCTAGGGAGGTGTTCCAGGCACGTCCAGCTGGGAAGAGACCAAGGGGTAGACCTAGGACCAGGTGGAGGGATTATATCTCTTCGCTGGCCTGGGAGCGCCTTGGGATCCCCCAGTCAGAGCTGGTTGATGTCGCCAGGGAAAAGAAAGTTTGGGGCTCTCTGCTGGAACTGCTACCCCCGCGACCCGACCACGGATAAGCGGGAGAAGATGGATGGATGGATGGATGGAATAACTGAACGCTGCTTCTCCATGTTTAGTTCTGACTCTGGGGACAGAAAGCTGACCAGTCCCTGAAGACCTGAGAGTTCTGGATGGTTCATAATTTAGCAGGAGGTCAGAAATGTATTTTGGGCCTAAACCATTCAAAGCTTTATAAACCAGCAGCAGTATTTTGAAATATATTCTTTGACACACAGGAAGCCAGTGTAAAGACTTCAGAACAGGAGTGATGTGATCCACTTTCTTAGTGTTAGTGAGGACTCGAGCAGCGGCGTTCTGAATCAGCTGCAGCTTCCTAATAGATGTTTTAGTGAGACCTGTAAATACACCATTACAGTAGTCCAGTCTACTGAAGATAAAAGCATGGACAAGTTTTTCAAAATCCTGCTGTGACATTAGTCTTTTAATCCTAGATATGTTTTTTGGTGATAGTAGGCTGATTTAGTCATTCTCAATCAATCAATCAACAACTTTATTAATCCCGCAAGGGGCAATTGGTTATGAGCAGCAGTTTATGTCATGTACACAGGCAGGAACATACAAGAAGAAAACACACAGATACACCCGGGAGCACAGATGTGGATAATTCCAATTTACACTATAAATAGTTCAAAGCATCACAATAATAAATAAATAAATAAATAATCAAGTTAAAAGCCTTTTCAAGAATTTAAAAGTTTGAGTGCAGAAGGGATGAATGATTTAGAAAAGCGATTAGTCCTTTGAGCAGGTAGAGCATATCTACGCCCTGATGGCAACAGACGAAATTCATGTGAAAGTACATTACCTGGAGAGTTCAGAATGCTCTCTGCTTTCCGCTGAATCTGTTGGTTACAGAAGGAATTTAAGTCTCTCTGTTTCACGCCGATGATCTTGGAGCAGGTTTTAACAATGCTGTTCAGGCTGTTCCTGTCTTTCAGTGTAAGGCTATGGAACCAGCAGATAAAAGAAAAACAAATAAGGCTCTCAATGAATGCTTGATAAAAACGACAAAGAATGAAAGGCCTGACAGAGAAAGAGTTCAGTTTGCGAAGAAGGTGCATTCTCTGTTGACCCCGCTTCACAATACACTCAGTATTCACATCAAATTTGAGGTGGTCATCGAAAATGGTGCCCAAGTATTTGTATGATGTGACCATTTCTACCTTGTCATTGTGTATGATGCACTCCTTAGGAACATCCTTGTGACGTCTAAAATCATTGATCAATTCCTGGGTTTTGGAGACATTTAAATCCAGAAAACTGTCATCACACCAGGAAATAAAATCGGCAAGAGCACCCTCGTGGCCTGATTCTGAGCCGCTAAGGAGGGACAAGAGGGCGGTATCATCAGAGAATTTAACCAAGTAGCTGTTTTAAACAATTATAGAATTTTTTTTTTTATTGTACTTAATGAAATGTGAAGCCTTTGGCCACTTTTTAACCTTTTTTCTTCTGTTGAAATTCAGGTCAGAGTAAATGGTAAATGGACTGTACTTATATAGCGCTTTATCCAGTCTTGAAGACCCCTCCAACCCTTTACATACTACATGTCGTTCACCCATTCACACCCATTCATACAGAGCAGTGTATGTTACTCTAGGAACTAACATGCATACACATTTACACACCGTTGGCCAACTCAGGGTTAAGTATCTTGCCCAAGGATACATCGTCATGTTGACTGTATGGGCTGGGATCGAACCCACAACCTTCTGGTTGAAAGACAACCGCACTCCCTCGTAGCCACAGTCGCCCTGTCCATAACTACACCTAGATTTCGGCTTTATCTGTTGTTTTGAACATTGCAGACTGGAGCTCAGCGCTGACTTTTATACATTCTGCCTTGGCTTCAAAAACAATTACCTCAGTTTTATCTTTGTTTAATTAAAAAAGGTTCTGACACATCCAGTCATTGATTTCTTCAATGCACTTACTTTGAATTGGAGCATAGTCTCCTGGTGAAAAGTTTGTGTAAATGTACATGTCATCTGCATAGCTATGGTAACTTACTTTGTTGTTTTTCATTGTCTGTGTTTAAGTGGATGTCATTGAAGACCTTACCAAGAGCTGTCTCAGTGCTGTGGTGTGGACGAAACATTTCCATTTGACTCCCTCAAGGTCATCAGGTTTGTTGTTGATTCCCTGGTGTCGATACAGAACTCAATGTCCTTCAGGTATGTATCAAATGCAGTTAAATTATGGGCCTAAACCACAAAAGGAGCCTCACCCTCCACTTACAAATTCCTGTTGTCCCCACATCTATCCAAGACAAATATTTATGTTTACTCCTCAAACACAAATTGAGCCATCCTTGGACCCATCCCTGCTGACAGGCGACAGAGGACAGATCAACAACATGTTTTCCCTTTGTGTAAAACAAATGGGATTTGTAAAGACTTATATGTCCCACAACACTATATGTTTAATATAATCAAATTCAAATCAAGTTTCCTATGGTGAACCAACAGAGAATTATTTGTATTATAATTATTATTTAATTATAATTTACTTGGTTTTACAGTCCACAAATGTACAGATTCAGTGTTGTCCCTCTCAACAACTCTGTTTCCAGCTACCACTAGCACTTCTTGCACTGAGAGACCAGCAGGTGAAAGCATCTAGCAACAAAACAACCAGACATGTTTCTTATGAGTTGACGTAAGTGAGTGAATATGGGACTTACATTTGTCAGGTAGCCAGAAAACATGACAAATATTTCATTGCTCTGTCTGAATGCCAAATGTGTTTATCAGCTTATTGTGTGGTATTTCTACCACCTAGCTTTAAATACATTTATTGAGTCTTAGTGTTCAATATAGTTAAAGTTGTCAAAACAATTAGAGATGCAACCTTATAACTGCTTACATATTACCATTCTGCCACATAATCAAAAGAAAGTTGCTTATAATGTTGGAGAAACTTTTGTCAGCAAGAACCTTTTTTAGAATTTATGATTTGGCTGACTCCACATTTAATTCCTGATTGTTGCAGTGTCAGATTTTGTATACATTTATATCAAATTGCAGTTGTGAAGATGTTATACAAATATGATTTTAAACCAAAGCAACATTACATTCTACAGAATTCATAATGATTAAGTTGTGGATGACTGAAGCGTGTATTACAATGAAACTGCATTGGGACATTTGTACGTTATATTTACAAAATGTGGATAGGACGACAGCAGGCAGTTGTGTGGTTCTTCTGGTGTATACATGTTACAGCAGCATTAGCATTATGTTACAGCAGGGCAGCTGGTCT